CCCCCTCCTCTCCTGTTGCCAAGAATTCCCCCTCCTACCTACCTCCTCTGGACTGTCGTCGCACTGAAGGATATGTGATTCTGACCTTGGAAGGAGGATCAAAAAGAAATAAAACATTAAAAAACCAACTGCTGAATACCAGGGCTCTCTCTGCGTCAGCCCTGCAGGAAGCCAGGGGAAACCCCGCGGTCTAACTACAGATATCCGAGACATGGCACTGATTCTGGGTGCACTTCAGACGGTTCTTATTTTTGTTTCACTTTGTTTTTTTTACACATTTTCTTTCCACCTTCAGTATATTTTGTGATTTCAAAAGTTGGACAGGGTGATGACCAGAGAGGTTTGTTGTTGTCCCTTCATCTGACCTGGTACGTCATGTAGGCTCTTCATATTGGACTAATAGTGTTAAGGTCACTGAAGAGCTATGTCTCTAAAAGCACAATATGGCCTACATTATCAAAATGCAAAAAAACATCCAAATTTGACATCATACAACCATGTGCTGTGGTTTCTCATGTTGATGCTTGCAGTTAGCTGTTTGGTTTTAAAAAAACACAGAGTGTGAGTATTATATTGGCATGATGCTGATTTCTGCCCAGAACTTATTACATTCTGTCTTTACGAGCAAGAACACCACATTAAACCTTATTTCAAATCTGGCAATACAACAAAAACATGTATACCTCACAGAATCTACACAACATAGGTATTTTAAATCTACTTTTCAATTTGAAGTACAGGTTTCGTTACAAGAGAAACTTGTTTTGTATTGGTAAAAGGTTTTAACATTTGATGAGATTTTTCCAAATTAGATTGAAAGAAAAGCTGATAATTAACATTTCAAGCAGTTCAGTTAGTTAGTCAGTTAGGCCCCTGAGTTTTTCATAGTCATAGGATAAGTGAAATCGGCACGTATAACCTTTATCTCTTTAAAATAGTAGGAGGGACAGTGTCTCAGTCCCATAACAGTGTGCCGTCTGTCACCATGCCACAAGGCTCTTATGTAGATCTGAAACAGAAGAGACCAGTGCTCTCGCTTTCAAATGGTTTCTAGTATCTGATTTGTCATCGACCAGGTGAGAGTATAGCTTTTTAGGAAAGTTTAATCTTAAGGATTGTGTTAACTTATCACCCGACTTCATCACATTTGTATTGATTGTTGTCTAATCTACTTAAGTGTCTTGTGAGATGCAGCTTGGGAATGTTGAAGGAAGAGTCGTTGTGATGCTACTGACTTTAACAAAGCAGACGTCGGCAGTGGCGTGAACCGCTAAGGCTAATTTGAGGTGGATTTTGTAATGTGAGGGGTTCTTATAAGCGTCGTGAAAGTCTTAAAAAATGTTGGATTGGACACAAATATTGAGAAAGAGAACAATGGTCCTAGTGCAACCGAAATAGCATTTTTAAGTTTTTCACTGTCATCGATGAGTTGACTATACAGAGTTGAATGATTGCCTTGAGAGAAACGTATATAGGAACCCTGAGTTCTGTGTGGTGATCTCTTCATTTTCTTCTGGCCCTTTAATTCTTCACAGTGACTGAAAGTGTTGAGCTATGTGTTATAGAAATACAAAAGATCATAGACCAACAGTATGACTTCTGCAAACTTCTCTTTGCAGTGAATTCGGTTCTTGTATTTAAGTTCTAGGTGGCGGTTTGGCTCCATGGCGGAGGTTAAAGCATCTTTCTCTTGGCCATCGCCATCAAACAACCAGCTCTCTTCTGAGCAGTTAAATATCACATGAATATTGCAGCAAAAGAGGAATATGTGTGGAAATACAGATGTTGATGATACTGTTCTATTGTGTTCTATGAATTGGTGAACAGATACGAAAATAAGATTGGTTCTCGCTCAAGACAAAAGGACCAAATCGTCCGAATCGTGACTAACATGATCACTCTGTAGGTGGTTATAATGTCAAATGTGCCTCTTATGTATTTATGTACATGTGTGTAAAAATAACAGGCTATGCTCCGATTTACTGTTTATTTTCGCTTCATGTCCACTGTCTTGCTTTTTCATACTGCACTGCTTCTGCCCCGTTTGGTTTGTTTTCTAAGAATGACAGACTGTTAAGCACTGTGTGTGTGTGTCCCACAAATGACTTGGATGTCCAGTTTGCATGTCCTTAATCATCCGATTGCGTGTATTCTGTTATTGTTTTTGTCGCCTATCATTAAACAAATGTTGTTAGGAACTCTATTCTCCGTCTCATGTTTGATCTAAGGAGTCAGAATTATATAAACCTGAAACATGCATAAAATCTTTCTTTGACACTTTCTGTCTGATTAAAGCCTCTAGCTTCTGCAAATAAACATCAGTCTCTGATCATGTACTGAAAAATGTACAATTTTAAAGTTTTATCCCATGCAACTAATCATCTATTTTAGCAGTGATGCAAAAAAGTACACGTCCCACAAAAACATGAAAACATACTCTATTATTAATTTTCATTTAGTTTGCTTATAGAAAAATATATTAAAGGAATATAAATAAAATCAAACATCCAAACATAAAGCATTTACTCAGTCACACATGTACATACGTTTTTGAGGTACTTTCTCTTTAGTTGAGTACTTCAATGTTTTACTACTTTGTACTTCTACAGTTCAAAAGTAAATCCTGTACTTTTACTAGACTACATTTATTTAATACCTTTAGTTACTTTGCAGATTTGGATTAATGACGTGAAATATAAAACAAAACTTAAATAAGACTTTAGTTAAACCTGGAGTAAATACACAAGCTACCCTGCAGTATACAAAGTAATTTAAACTAGCTGCAAGCTGCTACTCTTTACTAGCTTTGATAACACTTTAATGCATCATTATTTGTATGAAAACGATTACAAAATATAATATGGTGTGGACTAGTGCGTTGGTGTTCGGATCAGAGCAGCACACGTTCAAACCCAACTACAGTATAGTCAGCATGTCGGTGTCCCTGGGCAAGACACTTCACCCCAAATTGCTCCTGTGGGGATTGCCCACACAGTATTGAGTATGTAAGTCGCTTTGGATAAAAGCGTCCAACAAGAAATATGTAATGTAATATTTATGATTCTGACATGGACCAATCTGCATAATGACTAATTTTACTTTTGGTACTTTAGTTATATTTGATGCTAATATTGTTGTACTTCTACTTGAGTAAGGATTTGATTGCAATACTTTAATTTTATAACAGAGTATTCCTACACTTTGGAAGTTCTACTTTAATTACTCAAGTATAAGATCCGAGTACTTCTTCCACGCGACATAAGAACTCCAGTAAAACCACCAGAGGGCGCTGTTACACAACATATGTGTCATTCCCGTTGGATTTCCAGTAATTATTACAGGATGAAACTGGACTATGTTCATGCAAGGATTCTCCTTGATGGTTTACAGTTTTCATTTAATCACAAAACCATGCAAGTGGTCGAGAAATTAGGATAAAATGTCAAATGTTTGTGATATGATTGTGGAGTAAAGGCTACAGAGAACCACGGCGGAATAGAAATCAGGAGGTTGTCCTGAAGAGTCTGTCAACTCACACAAAGATCGTATAGAAAAACACAGAGGCATCACCAGTTTCGGAGGATAGACGCATTAAAGGGGCTCATAATATTGCTGTCATACATAAATAAATAAATATATGCTCAGGGGTCTTAAAAAGTATTCAAAGTTGATAAATCAATTTAGATCAAATGAAGGGTATTAAAAAGTATTAAACGACATTTTCCAAGGTATTATATTTTGTAGCTTGTTTTCAATAAGTATTGTCCAAAGAGGTTGTATTCTAAAGTTTTCCTGAATGTAATCATTGCGTAGGAATCTTTGTAGTTTATTTATGGCATCCCGTTGGATTTGACTTCATCTGAACAGGACATAGCGCGCTCACTGCTTGATAGCCCGCGAAGGTCCGTTTACGCCGGTTGTTAAACAACATCGTTACTGGGAAATGCAAGTTTGGGTCCAAATGGTTGGAATATAAGGAGGAAGGACAATCAATAGCTTACTAAATGTGCTTGTGTCGCCAATGTAACCGGTTAAAACTCAAAGTGGCAATGAGGTCTTAAAATGTATGGAAAGGGTCTAAATTAAGGTATTCAATTTGACTTCAGGATTCCTGCATACCCTGATGCTATAGAACATAAATCCGATCCTTCTTCTGGGTTATCTCCTAATTGTTATTTCGATTTATTATCTTTTCTTTAAAATGACACCCTAGTTCATTTCCAAACTGATGCTTCAAAATCTACCTGAACGTGTGTTTTTGTCCTTAAAAAGGGACATATTTCCTGCAAATAGATAAAGAAGCTTAATTACGCAGTAGGCCTACTACAATTTTCCTATAAAACTATTTATGTCACTGACAGCAGTTTCTACATTATCTTGTTAGCCTTAGAGAAGGTAAAACAAATATAGTAAGTATGGAAATATTAGACTCAGCTTCTAAAATAAATATTAGCTTGTAAATCCCTACCGCCTATGTGTAGATCAGAACTTTGTTTCTCTACAACAGTAAAATGCGACTTGATGCAACAATGTTATCTGGAAATGTTACATACATAATTATAGTTATATCCACACATTAAGGCAACTTTTCTGCACAATTATTCATTGTACTTTTTATACTTCAAGTACATTCAGCTGATGATACGTTTGTACTTTAACTTAAGTACGATGTTGAATTCAGGACTTACTTAATTAAGTATATTTTGATAATAATGTATTCTTACTTTTACTCAGAGGTGGGAGAAGCACTCAGATATTTTACTTGAGTGTACGAATACTCTGTTACAAGGTAAATTTCAGGGTAATGTATATATTATATACATTGATTTAAATGATTGATGCATTAAAGTGTTATCAATTACTTTGTATGCTGCAGGGTAGCTTCGGAATTTTAATCCAGGTGTAACTAAAGTTTTATTGAAGTGTTGATTATATTTCATATTATTATTACAAATCTGTAAAGTAACTAAAGGTATTAAATACATGTAGTGGAGTTAAAGTACACGATTTACCTCGGAATTGTAGTGGAGCAGAAGTGCAAAGTAACATAACATAGGGCGGCTGTGGCTCAGTGGATAGAGTGCTGGACTTCTAATCAGGGGTTACCAAATTTGAGTCCCCGTGCAGTCAGCATGTCGTTGTGTCCCTTGGCAAGACACTTCACCCCAAATTGCTCCTGTGGGGATTGTCCACAGTAGGCTACTGAATGTATGTAAGTCGCTTTGGATAAAAGCGTCTAACAAAATGACATGTAACATTTAAAGTAGGCGTACAAGTATCTCAAAATTGTACAGTAGGCCTACTTGAGTAAAGTTCCCACCTCTGCTTTTAACTCCAGTAAAGCAGCTGAATACTTCTTTCAGCATTGATCACTCATCAATCATTCTCTCTGTTAATGTTTGCTGTAAATCCAAGAATTCGTAAATCCCAATAAACAACAAACCCTTGCAACCTGCAACACATGCTCTGGGCAGTGATGCATCTTGTCTCAGTATAGACGATCTGTGTGAGTCAGTAGTATCTGCGTTGAAGGAAAGCTGCTCTCCCACACTGGCTGCTATGACCTAGCTACCGGAGGACACTTTCTGCTCTCAGGACTGACCGCTGCGTCTCAGATAGTTTGTTGTAGCGTTTTTTTGGCAACCATTCCTTCAACATACAGTCGTTTATGGTTGCATTGCTGCGACTTTTTAATCGTAGCTGCTAGCCTCTGGGGCTAGCAGAGCAGTGACAGTGAGGAACCAGCTGGTCAGGAGTACAGTAACGTTAGCAACAAGCTAATTAGCCTGGATTACTGTCTTTAATCACAGAGAGTGTGCGTGTTTACTCACTGCGGCAAAATGAAGATAACTGTGGAATTCGAGGAATGTCTGAAGGACTCCCCACGGTTCAGGTGAGTGCTGACAAGCAGGCTTTAGTTCCTGTTATTTATTTATTTCCCTACAGGAAAAGTATTCAGTTAGCTTCCTGCTAGCTGCAGCTAATCACCGGTAACTAGCCTGCTGTTTGATGGCTGCCACTTTTCTATTTCTGTCTGTTAAGAAAGCTGGGGCCAGCCGGGGAGCATGGGGTAGGAAACCACACAGAAACTCTCTGACCGGGGTGCAAGCACATAGGAGCAGTGGCAAGCTGTCCTGGTTTATGTTTTCTGTAAATGAATTATGTAAGGATAGGAATGAATATTAAAAATGAATGCTGGAAGTGACAGTCTGTGCCAGTAACCTTAATTTGCCATTGTTTAAAATGCCATGCATACAGTATGGGATTGTGCCAGAACCACTCAGACTTTAATGTTGTATTGTTTGCAGCAAATCACACTGTATCACACTTTCTTATTCAACTGGAAATACATCTACTCTGGGCAGCTTGTATTGGCAGGACAGGACTTTAGGATATCAACTTAAATGTATTTACACATGTCACATATTGTCAAATCAGGTGTTTCTTTGATGAATCAATGGATTGTTTGGGCCATGATAGAAAAGATTGTCCATCAAACTTTCACAAATGTTAACATAATCCGTATATGATATTCCAACACCTCGAAACTATACTGTATAAAGGGATTTTGGAGGGTGGTAAATATTACAAATCATTTAACAAGTCTACGGTTTTTGTTTTTTTTAAGTGAAAAATCCACAATTATTAGGTAAAATACTGCAAAAGACGAACAAGTTAATAGTCACATTTATAAGTTGAACCCAGCCATTTTAGCATTAAAGCATGATGTGAGTGATATACACAGTGGATGAAAATTAAAGCATAAAGTCGCAGACTGTGCCAGTACTCATCATTTGCCACTCTTTACAAATTAAAGCCTACAGTAAAACACTTTTGACTTTATAATCAAAGTTTATTTATATAGCCCAATATCACACATTTTGCATTTGTCTCAGTGGACTTAATTTTTTTGTAAAGTATCTCTTCTGCAGTTTTCTCCGGTGGTGGGCGTTGGTGTGATGTATTCCTGGCAACATTGGCGCTTCTGACACCATCTCTCGCACTTTTCTTCAATTTGTCGACTTTAAAAGCGGTGAAAATAGGATGTTTGCTCTCTACTTCCTCCTCACTCACTTTGCGTTATCCAGAGATTTGAGAAAGCGCCTCCTTCCTCCCTCCGCTCCCTCGGCTGTTGCTGCAACATCCTCTCTCTCAAAATCAGGAACAGATGTTAACATTCAGAGGTTTGAATAAAGGGAAACTTCCCAGTCAGCTGTGTTACTTGGCCTGAATAATACTCTAGTGACATTCTCCCCTCAGAAGACTGCTTCGACATGACGATCTCAGTCATTATTATACATTTATACATGTATATTCAGTGTATTTATTTATTTATTTTACCTTTATTTAACCAGGATAGGTCTCATTGAGATTAAACATCTCTTTTTCAAGAGAGTCCTGGCCCAAGAATGGTAACAGCACAGTTTCAGACAGTTTTACAGTTACAGACAATTAAAAAAACACACAATCACAACACAGTCATACACAAAGTTTAGCCAAAGCATTTACAGACACAGCTAGTAAAAAGTGTAGTATTTCTTTATAGTATTAGCATCATCTTTATAGTATTAGCATCATCATCATCATCCTCATCATCATCATCATCATCCTCTTACATAATCACTTTGCTGGATTCCTGATAACAGGACGAGTCACTGCAGATGGTTTAAAGTTGTGTGTCGTTAATGTAGTTAATCAAAATAAAGCTGTGATGTGGAGGATACATTGTCAGACTGAAACTGAGACCTATAACCAATACAAATGAGTCCTTAGTTCATACCCTTTCATAATAGGCTTCAGACGATACTTCCTTTTTGAAAATCAATCGTTTTTTTAACAAGACTTGAACCCCGATTGTTTGCATATTTAGGAAGGCAACAATTTCCAACTCCAAAATCTGTTGCACCTTTTATTATTCTTATTCATTTTTTCAACAGGTTTTGAAATTAACTAAATGAATAAAGACAACTTTGATTGTTTGATTTCTCAGTCTTGTGTAGTAAACTGAACATCTTTGGGTTTGACAGGGAATTGGCTGGAAGGTTTTACTTGGTAACGTTTTGTTTCTCTTACAGCCTTGGTATACAGTAGCTCATCTTTTGTCTGCAAATTGTATTCCGTCATCCTCCAGTTTCCTACTCGTAAAATGTTTCCTGCTCTGTTGGATGAGGTCCAAACGTTTTCACTCCAGAGTGGAGTCTTAGTTTAGTTTTATTTGGCTTGTTTTCAATTTGTACAAATGAAATAACCACATTAAAAGTAATAATTACCAATCGGTCAGTACTTGTGAAATTGTGACCAACAAAAGCAATCATAGGCCTCTTAAAGGTCCCTTGTCATGCTTTTCCGGTTATTACCCATCCCCTTGTGTGTTTTGAAGGTTTTTATGCATGTAAATGGTCTGCAGAGTCACTCAGGGAGTAAAACTCTAACACAGAAAAGACCTCACCAAAACGCCTCGTTGGAGATTTCTCATTTTCTTCCTGGGTACTCTGACGTGGGGATACCCAGAGGCCACACCCTCTGCCAGCCTTTCACGAAACAAAGCTTCCCAAACCTTTCAGTTATTCATGCCGGATATGTACAGCGTAGGGCACTGAAGAACGATGCTGTTCCTACTTTGTTTGGACCAGCGGGAGATTCGGGTACACAACCTGTAAGTATTCATTGTTGTTTGTGTATTTATGATGTTTAAAACAAACAAGGTATCTACCACGACTGTTTAAATGGGTAAACGTTTTTCGGGCTACTACGTTGGCATCGCGGAGAAATGCTCTCCGCAGACCCATNGAGAGGCTCGTTGCTGCGATCTGCTGCGAGGCTTCCGCTCCTCGCGGCAGATCGCAGCAACGACGTGACCAATCGGAGCACACTGGGCTCACAAGGAGGGGGGGGCAGGAGCTCCAACAAGCCGTTTAGGACAGAGAGTGAATACACATACTTTACAGAGATGCTGTATGAGAAACCAATGTGAGTTTGGAAAATTGCACAGTATAAATCTATTTTAGTATACCTCAACAATGGAATTATGATCAGTGGAAATAGCCATGACATGGGACCTTTTTAAGCAAAAAATAATAAGTATGTATCAGAGTTACTATGTCTGACTCTAGCCTCCAAATATAGGTTATTTTACGCAAATATGGTTCAGCCGTTTTTTGTAAACACACTGCTTCAGCTGAGCATTTTAACTCAGTTCAAACTACATATCAAGTTACACAAGAGAGAAACCTGTCATCTGATTCAGACTTGGGCACATTCTCTGCCTTGTAGCTTTAGTGATAACATACATTGGACTTGTGCACCACTTACAAATCTAAATGAAGGATCTCCAATCTTTTATCATGTTGGTGTGATGGGAAGCCACTACCCATAATCCTCTGCAACCTGGAGTCTTTATCTAAGCTTTGAGTGCCCTTTGTCCTTTACCAGAATCATCTGCCAACGTTTCCTGTAGCTCCTGTCAGGTTGGGACTGGTCAGAGATTTCCACAGCCCCGTTTTCAACTTTGACCACCGTTGTTTCGCTCTTATATTTCCATCCCCCACTTGTTATGTTTGGCCGGAGAGGAGGACATAAGGGGAGAGAATGGATGAAAACACGGAGCAGCTCTCACTCGCTCAACATCTGTTTCCATTTTGGTGTTTGCTTTTAAATGTGTGCTAGGGAATATGGAGCCCCCAAATGTGGAGAGGGTTGTTTTCAAGTGGTAATTTGGCACACCCCACTTTTCTTTTTTTTTGTTGCTCTCATCCTCATTTAAGTTGGGAAGCTGTCTTTAGTGATAAACCACGCTTTCAGCCCGGAGGAGAGATGCAGTCTTTTTGGCAGTATACCCTGCTAGCCTACTTTCCACATGAGAGTTTAGACTCTTTCCTGGCTCCTCTTCAACTATGAGAGTGGAACATTCCCTCCAGAGGCCATGGCTTTCTCCCCAAATGTGTAGGGATACATATTTTACATTTTTAATATGCCTCTCTTTCTTGCAAGATCCAAAAAGAGGCAAAACATGTATTGAGTTAGCAGTATGTTGTTTGTATTTTGAACAACAATTGTTGATCAAATCTTGGGCTATATATTGATATTAAATGGATAATATGATATAAAACTAGATATCATCTTACATTTTGGATAAGGTTATGTTAAGTGGTGTCTTTTCTTGGCTTTAAAGGATGCTTCACAGTAAGTGATGTCATTTTCTGAATCGAACAGACTGTTCTATTCTTTGCCTTAGCCCGCTTAGTCATTCAATTCACATGACATTTAAATATTGAATGAAAGAAACAATGTCGTCACAATTAGATTTTCTTAATATTGCCCAGCCCTGTGAGCTGAAATGTTTCAATATTTGATTCACAATGAGCCCACAAAAGTAAGCACAACACCAAGACATTTAAAAATAAACGTCATTAGAGTGAGACAGTAATGTTTTGATACGTAATACTAGACCTGAAGTACCCAGAAGTGAGCTCATTTCTGCAATTAGCAGCAGCTTCTCTCCCTGTCTTCACTAGCTCCTTAATCATGATGACACGAGAGCTCGCCCCTGATTGGTTTAGCTGATTCTGAGCTCAGCAGAAAGCCATGGTGTGACGTCATTGGTCCAACAGCTCCCGGTTGCAGTTCTCCTTAAAGTCTCTGACGGCAGCTGTAGAGACTGATCTCTGGTGGTCTCTCTGATACAGAACCCAGAGTCTGACGAGGGCGATCGTACCGCCATACTCCCCGATTAGTTCCACAGGGGAACAAAGGCTCGTTGGCATGTTGATTTGTTGCGGTTTGATTTCATTTACCTTTGTTTTATTTGTTATTAATAAACAAAATGAACAGCTAATAAAATGGGAGAACTCTTGCTGTGTCGGTACATATAGACAGTTAGATTTCCTTAGTATA